TCCCACAAATTGTGAATTTTCATGTGATCCTCTTAAGACCCATGTTACATGCCATAATTTTGAAATCTTCGGGAGCTAGAATAATTTTTATGTATAACCGATCACCGCCACTTAGGAAAGCCTAATAATAAAGACTCTTCCCTTATATCTTAGATGTCGAGAGTTTAAATCCACTGAGAGTCACTCTCATGATTTTTATTTGCAGTAATTACCCGCTACATGTGAACTGCATGTGCGAGCAAAAAAAAAAATGCTTGCAATAATGAAATACTTTTGAGTTATAAATAATCTTATTTTTATGTTGACATATAAACTAAGGATATCTATCGCGAAAAATTAAATGATTTCAGTTTATATTTTTTCACACTTTTTAGGCTCTAGGGTAAAAAAATTCTTAGGCTCCACTCTTACCCTATAAAAAATCATATAAAAACAAACAAGTAGGTTTATCTCTCACCTATTTACTTCTTCTTTTTTATTTTTTATTATTAGCAATGGCATATGAATTTTAATATCCATGTTATCAAAAATAAAAATTAACTAATTATAAGTTACTGGTCTTGCCTCTTCTACAACCAACCCTAAATTGATTAGGCTTACATAATAACTAAATGAAAGTTCAAATTCATTTACAATGATGGTGACATCCATTCGGCCCTTCGCCACTCTAATTATCATCATCATGATGGAGCCTGTTTTTTTTTTTTTTTTTTTTTAAAATAGTCAATTACAGAAATACCCATGCCATGATTTGCCATTATATCCTCCTATGAAAGTGGCTTTTATTTGAACTATTCAATACTCATCACCCTACAATGGTGGAATTTGTGTATGTCCTCATCAATAATTGATGCTTGCTATGCAACTATTGACATTGATTGATTTTAAATTCTCATGTTCTTGGATTTTGATAAATTGGACATCAACTCTTTTGCATCTTCCTATTAATTTTACTAGGACGACAATGATTCAAATGGTTAGATATGAACGGTCCTATATCGCACAAAGTAGGAGTAAAAGTACGCGCAGAACGTTAGAGCTATATCCGTTTAGAATAGAATTATGTGATATAGGGCAAAACCCTTTTCTTTTTTTTCTTTTTTTCTCCCAAATAGCAAATGCTCACTTAGGCCCTATTTGGTTTGCGTTTTGTTTTAATTCGAAACAAAACAAACATTTTTTTGTAGAGTATTTTGAATAGTAATCGGAAATATATTTAGTAACGTCCATTTGTTACAAAATTTTTGAAAGTAAAAATATGAAAATATGTTTGTTGCAAGTTTGAAAAATATAATAGTTAGTTATAAAATGTCATTTAAGAGTTTTTTTATTTTTTACTGTTCATCGCTGTATCGTTGCTATAGTGCTAAAACATGTAAAAATATCAAATTGTTGTTTCGATTTTTGGGCACTATTCACAAAACATTTCGGTATGCGAAACAAAATATATTTTATCAAATATGTTTTTTCTACTATACTATCTATACACTACTATTATACACGACAAAAACAAAAACTCCAAAACAAAATGCATACAAAACAGGTGATTAGTAATAATTAATCATCAATCTTCTACTCTCGGAGGTAAGAAGATGCCAGGGTTGAGAAATTTTATTATTATCATAATCTATATTCTTACTTTTATATAATGTGATACATAAAAAAGTAGTCATTTTATAAACTCGAATACAAATCTCTTACAACCTGAATTTTAAGGTACAATTAACAAGGAATAAAATGCATACGATGATAAAATGAAGAATACAACAACTTGAATAACTAAAATAAACCAATATTAATCAATTATGATTATTTACAGGAAAATAAACAAATTAAATAAAAGTAAGAAAAGTGACTTTTGAGATTGAGTCTTCTTATGCACTGTGGTAAAGTCGGTATTTGTTTCTTACGTACAGGTGTTAGCAGCACTGTCAACTCTAAGATACAATTCAAGTGTTCAGTTCGTATTCTTTTGAATTTAACTAAGTTCTTAACAGGTAACACATTGAGTGAGATGGTGACCTTAATTAATAGGATAAAAAAAAAGTAACCGTTTTTCAGTAAGAAACTCAACACTCTCGTTTGCCCAACTGCCCTCATCTCTCACTTTGACAGGTGGATAATATAAGCAGTAGACTAAGCCCTTGGTTAATTTAGATTGGTAATACATTAAATAGTTTTACACTGTTAAACTCACATACAAATTCATTTTACTACAATAATAAATCCTATGATACTTAAATGAATTAATGTAATGCTACTTAAGTGATGTTATTTTTTTTAAGTGCCCCTAAAAGTAATAGTGACCATGATTCACTAATACTTGCATATGCTGCTAAATAATTAGGGTTTCATATGATTAAACAACCATTATTATATGTGAAATGATTTATATTTATAGTCTATGCATTGCAGTGGGGCCGATTACTCTATTTAAAATGAAGGTGATTTTATCCACAACTTATATAATGCAGTTTAGCAACAAAAAAATTAAAAAAAAAAAAATTATATATATATATATATATATAGAGAGAGAGAGAGAGAGAGAGAGAGAGAGCGGAAAAGTACCCAGAATAACAATACATCCGATGTATGGAATTCTATCTTTGCTTAGCTGTAGTACATTACAATTGATTCATGGATTGGAATAATGTTATTATTATTATTTTTTTCGTTTATAATCATAATAAATGTCTCATCACATCAATCCAATTGCAATACTTAAAAAACAAGCTACTAAATAAGTGCATTCTTCTATTGTAAGATATATAAACTTGCAATGGACATCCAATTATCATTCATACATTGTGTTGAGAAACATCCAATTGAAAATTGAAGAAAAATTAATTTAAACTTTGAATTAATTAAAGAAAAAAAATAAAGGAAATTCCGAGATATCGGACCTATTTTGTTTGCCACTTAGAAAATAATTCTCAATAATTCAAAAAATAAAAAATTATTTTTTAAAAACTATAGAAGACAACCATCTAAAGATAAATTTTTTCTATAACTAAGTTTTTATAAAACTAAATGAGGTTTTGTAAATAGGAAATTATTTTATGAGTGACAAACCGAGCACTGGGGTGCAACTCGGGGAGGCAGTATAACTTAAGCCCAACCCGACATGTAAATGTTCAACCGAATCCCAATCCTAACCTACCTTCAAACCCTAACTACTCAATCCAAGTCCAACCCAACCTTCTACTTTTGAATTCGGGTTTGCTATTTAGGCTTAGATTTTGGGTTAGAAATTTGGATTAATTTGGGTTAGCCATATGGCCAATCTCCACATGAAAATTCTATGTGATATTGACTTAGTTTCTAATAAAATTAATCTTAAACAAAATATAATAATTTAAAAACTTATTACAAATTTTTAATAAATTACAAACAAATTCTTAAAAAATTAATTCTCCTATATGTTAATATACAATAAATTAATATTTAACAAAGGACGTTGAAAAGAAAATAAGTGATCATAATTTGAATATTATATATAATGCATTTTAAATAAAAATATATATATATATATATAAATAATATTAGAATTTGGGTTCGGGTTGAACTTAGGTTTCTAGCACCTCAAGTCCAACCCTACTAGGTTGAAATTTTTTTAATATATGCCCTAATTGTAAAATTGATTGTCCAAGTCCATAAAAAGTAAGCTCGGGTTGAGTTCGGGTTGCTCAACCCAAATTGCACCCCCTACCAAACAGCCCCTATTTCTTTCCTTCCAAATATAGCCTTAATGAAAATTCTCGAAATGCATACATAGTCGCTAAACTTGGTGCTCCAATAAAATAGTGTTAGCAAAACACATTCTAAATAAAGGCCGGCCCAAGGTTATCTTATAGCTACTAGTAAGTAGCTGGGCTTGGTGTAGGCCTACTTTGAGATATTTGGGCTAGATATTGACCCAACAACTGATGGGTACCTTTTGTGCCATTTGCCAACCAAGAAAATATAGTGCAGGTATTGTTAAGAACCATTCAACCCAACCTTAGGGTCTGTTCGATTTGTAATTTTGATAACAGTTTTTTATTTTCAAGAAACTAAAATGAGAACAATGTTTTATTTTCAGGAAACAAAAAACAGAAAACTACAAAAAAACTCTGTTTGGCTTAGTTTGTTAAAAACTCAGTTATAAAAACACATTTTTTTAGATAAATTATGATAGAAGCCTAATAAAAAATTCAGGTTATCACACATTTAGTCTAAAGAGAAGATGTTGGCTCATTGAGTTCCTTTTCCCACTCACCGGATCGAGTGGCTCTCTTTCATCCTTGAATTGAAGATTCGTAAACATGCCTTGAAGATCCTTCAAAATAGATATGTTTTTTATAGTTATCTGAAAACAGTTTTCTATTATTTGAATTTTTGAGAACTGTTTTCAAAGTTATAAACCAAACAGACCTTTAGTTCTTCCTTTTTTAATTCAAAATTCACTTTAGGCATGAGTCCCGCCTGGTCCAATCAAGCAAAAAAAAGGCTAAATAGAACGGCCACATTCGGTCCCAGGACCATGTAATAATTTTTCTTCTTATGGGCTTGAAGACGATCCTCAATCTAGTATGTCAGTAGGAGACTATGTAATAATTTCTAGATCTAGATCCTTATTCTATTATGTCTACGACCCTCTCCCCCAATGCCACAAATATTGTCAAAGACTCGGAACCTATATTCCCTTTCCGATTATTTGCCTACCCCACATTTTAGGAGTATGGACTAAAATGGTTGAGCGGTAACCCAAACTCGATTCAATATATAAAATGGTCAACCCAATCCCAACTTTAAGCACAAGTTATTAGATTTTAGATCGGATTGATTTGGTTTGTTGACACTTCAATCCGGGCTAATTTTAAAAATAATTGCACAACCTCTGAAAAATCTGATGTGTTCACACTGTGTCAACCTGTTACTCTGGAGGCTGACTTCAAAATTGATATATATATATATCTACATATGTATATATATTTATATATTCAAGACTATTTAATTCATGAAGAGAAAGAGAGCCTCATGTAAAAGATCTTATGAACCATGAAAAAATACACTACTACTCACTATCTATCACCCATTCATCTATTTACACTGCCGTTGGAGATTGGAAAAATCTGAAGGAAAAAAAAAAAAAAACTACGGGAAAAGGACAATTATTAATCAATTATATTATTATTATTTTTTTCCGGGACAGGGCTTGTTAAAAAGAGAAGAATGAACTATTCATTCCAGCGTCATATTTCTTCATCTTTTTGTTTCTGAAAATCTCGACTCACTTTGTACTAGTTTCCCAGCTCTGTTGGTAACACAAGTCCTGTGTTGTTGGGTTCAGCAGCTCAGTGGGAAATATTCATCTTTTCTGACCTCTTCAAGTCTGCTAATGGAACTCTATTTTTCTTGAACTGATAGCGGCAATTACTTCCCATGTTTCTTACCTGCAATTCAAGATTGAATTATATAATTATATTGACAACTATATATAATTTTTGATCACTTCATAGATGAGCATAACCCAATGGAGTTTTATGAGAACGAGAGAAAAAATAATAATAAGAAAGCAAAAGATAGGTAGGTGCACACACAACACAATAGGAGACGAGGATTTTATGCTGTTCAGCCTTTGGCATACGTCCACGGGAGAAGTATTTTACGATGGAAATTAAAACAAGAAGATACGAATGGTGGTTCGCAGCCAAAACCCAAATAGTCTCACACAAATCTCAGTGGGACTTGTGCTAAATGAATGAATCATGAAGGAAGTGCCTCATATTTTGTCTACGGCTATTTATATCCAGAGAACCACCTTAGGTGCTGCAAATACGAGGCACCGAAGGCCGGTGCCTCATATTTTGTCTTCGTAAGGCGGCTAAAGTCGGGGTCAATTTGAACCAAAAAAGGTGAATGGCAATGTATATATATATTGCTACATTGTTAATGGCATGAACATTTCCTGTCCCCAAGTCAACTGTCTAATTTAGTTGATAGAAATGCACCAATTACATAGACTACAAGGACAATGAGACTAGAAGTGAAAGGTTGTAGTTCAGTGAAATTATTATTGCAAAGAGAAACTATGTTTGATAGTTATTATGTTTTTTGAGTTTTATGAATGTTTACCTCTTTGAAACCATGACCTCCTAACTGCCTGGCGGATCTGGCGTTCGTGCCTCTCTAAGAGTTCATCAATTCTATGTGATTGAGACAACAAGGGTCCTGAAAATTCAACATTGTCCCCTTGATCCTGATAAGCCTGTCTCGAGTCCAAGTTTAGAAGGTTAAAGAAAGTACCAAAAGATGATAAATAGAATTGGTACAAATCAGCCTTTTAAACTCTTAATATGATTGAGTTGACTCAACCAATCAAAAAAAATTCATCACCAAAATTTAACCCAACAAAAGCATCAAAAAACATAGGAACTGTCATTTTTCAATAAACTAGGTTAGAATTTGTTAGCTCTTTCACCAAAACTAATTAGGTCAGAATCACCTATTTCAGCAAATTAATTTAAACTAAGTTATTTAATAACCAATTATTCCAATATTTTGCATTTTCCTAGAATTCCAATGCTTATAAAAATCCTTTCAATCTCTAGCCATGTAGAAGTTCTACCAAGTTCTGAGCTTCTTCATTATGATCAATATTTCATTTCCATTTCAGCATAATTTGAAATTGATGTGGAAACCAAATTTAAAATCTCAAAATGGTTCTAACAATTAAGAACTTACCAAACTGAACCTTTTAGCTGCCAACTCCTCCCCTTGATAAAGTGCCAGTGACAGTTCCTGTGAGTGGTACCCGTCAGAAGCATCAAATGAATCTGGACGCTCTAATTGGCTCCAGTCTTTAAGTATTGCATGCTTGACAGTTTCATAGGGATCGTGGCCCTTAGAATTGGTGCGACTTCCATATACAACTTCTGCATTTTCATGCCTTTTTGAATCAGAATTATTCTTTAAATGCAATGCACCTGAAGGTTCAAATATGAGACTTCTTGAACTAGACCGACTGCGTGATCTCACGGAGGACAATTCATCTTTCCGCCTTTTAGCCCATGCAAACCCACTAGAACCTGAAACTTGTAGTGGACCTGAAAAGGGAATGTCCCCTTGTGATGCATTCTTTATGTGGGAAGCCTCTTCCATTACAGAAATTGATGGCTTAGGCAGCTCCACCCCTAATTTGATATCTCTTTCCTTGCAATTATTTATATTATTATCATTGATTTTACGGTGGCCTTGAGTTTGGTCTGACAAATCCTGCACACACACGATCAATCAATTAATGAGAATAAACAACTATACAAAGCCAAACATACAACTAAAAATACAAGCATACATGTATTTAGTTTAGCTATTAGTTATTTATTTTATATTTTATATGGGGTGAGACAGAAAGAGAGAAACCTCAGCTGGTGCCAATTTATTTAGTCCATTTGGTTTTCTAGTTGGCTTCCTGGTTGTTTCAGGTCCACGGACTCTTCCACCAGGCCTCTTCCTGAAAATCCAGTACTAAAAGTGAATTGCAAATCTTGAAACATATGATCCTTGACTATACATAGAGAAAAAAAACTCCAAAAGAGTGCAACTCACACAAAACAAAAATTAATTATTTTCAGTAGTTGGAAACCTTACACGTATGGCTATATCAATTACATAACTCAAAAAGCATTGCCTTGAAGCATGCTAGTTATTGGAACATTTCGATGAAAATGGAAATTAGATTAGTCCATTGTGTAAATAGAATTTGAATGAATCAATCCTAACACTGAGAGCAATTAAATGAGTCTTTTTACAAATTAAGGACAACCAGGATTTTTATAAAACGACCTCAAATTCACTACACTGATGGTTCATATAACACAGCCAACATATTTTTCTACCTATGGCAAGAATTGAACCCCTGAGTGCATGCAAATTTAAAGCAAACACGTTGAACTGAATCATTCCATCGTGAAGTTGAGCATGCAAATGTCAAGTAAAACACATTGAACTGAATCAATCTTCATGGGCAGTTTGTGTTGGCCCAAAATACTCAAATTAAGTCGAGTGCCAACTTTTTACTGGCATTGGACAATTGTTGTGTTAAAATTGCTACCCTTTACAGAATGATTCAAGGCAAAGAAATTTTATGTACAACTGAAAAACTAGAAACCTCACCTCCGTGCTTCCTCACGATGCTTTGCATCAATCTCTTTGCTTGGTGGGTATTTTGGCAGGCTTGATGGATCACATGCATAAGGCTTTGTTGTGAAATACTGAGGATAGCAAGTAAAAGATCAAGATTATGCAGAGTCCCAGTTATTTAATCTGAAGTTCAAATAAATATTAAATCTGCACTTTCCTGTTGCAGTTACAGTTCGTGTGGTTCCATGGACATGGCACAAGAATAAGAGTATTACTTAATTGACCAAAGAAGTAATATCATAGATAAAAACCCAGCTCATGAATTAGAACTATATATGAGAGGGCATGGCATAACCTGCAATACAGAAGTTCAAACAAAATTTTTTTCATGAATACCTCGGATGCAAGAGCAGAAGAGGCACTCCCACGATTGCATGGTTCCACGGAAAGTAAAGTTTCTACCAGATTCACAGCCGTTTTTGGTAGCTCTTTAAAGGTCTCCCAGAGACAGCTTTCATAACGATGCTGTGGTTTAAATAGAGTTGCATGAGGAAGTTTAGACTTTTTCCAGTACTCATCTGGTGGGGACCCACAAAGCTTGAAAATTTTGTGTAGCTGTTCAACCTGTAGGCGGAACAAAAGCATTCTCTGAACTTCATATGGTATCAACAATTAACATTAAATATTATAACAGGTATATATTGTCTGTCAAGTGTTTTACAAATATAGAATAAAAAGAAATTGTCTGAGACTCTGTATGCATATGCTTTATTTTTATAATTTGGAATTGTGTTTACGAAATGTACCATTAATCCTCAACAATAATCTACACAAGCATTTCAAATCCTGGGCTTTGCTCATTTATGCTAGTGCATAGGGTGGTGTCATTTTCTAAATAGTTGAGAAGCTATATCTAGAGAAGTGTAAGAATTTTTTTTCAATTTGGATAGAGTATATTTGCATATCCTTTTGGGGATGACATTGTAGCGTAACGGGTTGAGAAACAGAAAACATTCCTGTATTCAGGAAGTCGGAGAAGAAGATTGCCTGAACCTGAAATACTTTCTGAAATTGAATTCTCAAGGACTAGTAATGAAACAAAAATAGTTCACCATTGGATGTGTTTGAAAGCATTTTCCAGAAAAATGTTATATACTTACTATTAAGCTTCCAAATAAGAATTTACATCATGGTAAGTTTAATGTAAAAATTAAAATTAAAACAGTTATAGTACATGCTATTTTGTAAGAAATTTATCTTACTACGATGATCTACATCATTTGTGAACATTATAAAACCATCCAGTAAGGTGATTACCTCTGTTCTGCCTTGAAGGATAGGTCTCTTAAGGAGAAGTTCAGCAAATACACAGCCAACACTCCAAAGATCCACAGATGCACCATAATCCGTGGAACCCAACAAAAGTTCAGGAGGACGGTACCATAAAGTGATGACTCGACTGGTTAGAGGTTGCCTGTGTCCAGAAGGTCCAGAACGACAGAAGTTTGCCAGGCCAAAATCAGCTATCTTCAAAATTCCTTCATTATTTACCAAAAGATTTGCACCTTTTATATCCCGATGCATTACACCTCTTGAGTGACAGTGCTCAAGTCCAGATAACAACTGTTTCATGTAGCATTTAACCTGCAAAACAGAATTAATTGAACCTCTAAGAAAGAAGCAAACAACTAACCTGCTCCGCATAAAGGAGGCGGCAACTGGAGGCACATTAATGAAAATATTCAACGACTTAGCATTTTGAATTTGTTTATTTCCATAGCATTTAAATAACAGATGAGTTTACTGTTTTTCTAGCCGTCAATGTGATGTAAAGATCAGAAAATAAGTTCTGATACCCTTGTGTCATTATGGCAATCTGCCGATGATTCTTTTATTAAATTGATCAAAGATGAGAAAATCAAATCAAAAAACATAAACACACAAATTTCAACATGAGCAAACCTGTGCATCGGTGAACTTGATATCAGGGGAAGATAAAAGTCCAGAAATATCATGTTCCATGTACTCAAATACAAGGTATATGCTGCATGATAATCGCGAGGTAATCAACCCCTCCAGTTTTATGATATTTGGATGGTCAAGCCTGCGTAGAATCATTATTTCTCGTGCCATAAACCGAACACTTTCGGGCTCAAAATTGTCGAAGCGCACCTTCTTCAGAGCAACTATCCGACCAGATTCCGAGTCACGTGCTCGGAACACACTGCTATATGTACCCTGTCCAATCTATCAAAGCAGTTGAAATTGTACAATTCTCATCAGATAAACAGCATGATGTAAAAATTCTAATTGACACCAATAATGAATCTTTTATTACAGAAAAAAGAACTTATTAGAATATGGTCAAATGAATGAGCTTTTTTGTAAGGGAAAAAAAAAAAATAGCAATCAGCAATTCAACAAGTAATTTGTGGCTCTTGACTCTCTCTAGGTAATGCCTTACTAAAAAGCAGAGCAACTCATTACTAAGAAAGGAACTTTTCAGAATGCCTTACCAACCACTTGTCAATTTACAGGTTTGCGTGCAACTAAAATTTAAGTTTTTGTTCAAAAAAGATTTTACCAACAAAAATAGAAATTGAATCAATAAATAGTTTAAACATAAATAAATTGTGTTTCTGGCAGTTAGAGAATAATAAGCAGCCCTTACTCCTTACATTCCAGAATCTCAAAAACTGTAGGCTTCTAGATAATTCATATGTATATAAAGACGTAAGTCGCAATGAGACAAGTGTAACAACTACACAATATATGAACGAGAAAGTAACTAACGACTGTAGAAATGTGGAGTCCAATACACGTCATACAGTTTAAAGGTGAAAAATGGGAGGAAAAAAAAATCCGCTCATAACTTCCTAGTTGGTAAATTTGTGAACAAAACAACCGCTTCTAGATCTACATATAACAGATGAGTACAAAATTTTCAATCCATCTAGCTATAAACTAATACCTTAAGTTCCACCTAGTAATGTTCGATCTTTAATGCACCCAAAAGTAGGTAGATTTCTCAATTTTCATGACAATTTGAAAAACTCAAGATCCAGAAAAAAATTAAATAAATAGAAAGAAAAATTATTGATATATTATACTAAAATTTGATAGAAGGGAATTGCGTTCCCACAGCCAATATGATGCAACCATATTGGCTGCAAAAATGGCAGGTCCCATACAAGATTTATATACAAATCTATATGAATGGTTGGCCTATGAAAAATGGTTGTGTAATTTTTACCTAGTTTGCATAAATAGGCACATCTCACAAGTTTTGAAAATTGGAAAGACTTAAAATGAAAAAAAAAAAAAAAAAACATAATAATAATAATAATAATAATAATAATAATAATAAATTAATATTGATGAAAAATGGGAAGGGAAAAAAAAAATTAAAAACAAAAAGAATCTACTCATAACTTCCTAGTTGGTAAATTTGTGAACAAAACAACAGCTTCTAGATCTACATATAAAAGATGAGTACAAAATTTTCAGTCTATCTAGCAATAAACTAATTCCTTAAGTTCCACCTAGTAAAGTTTGACCTTTACTGCCCCCCAAAGTAGGTAGATTTCTCAATTTTCATGATAATTGAATACACTCAAGATTCAGACAAAAATAAAAATAAATAAATAATAATAATAATAATAATAATAAATAATAATAATAATTTTGATATGTTATACTAAAATTAGATAGCATGAAATGAAAAAGAAGGGAATCGCATTTCCACAGCCAATATGGATGCAACTATAAATGGTTCTATAATTTTTACCTATTTTTCATAAATAGGCATGTCTCCCAAGTTTTGAAAATTGTAAACACTTAGAAATGAAAAAAAGTAAAAAATAAAAAACTACTTAATATTAAACCTATATTAGCCAGTAAATTTTTATTTTATACAGAACTAGATGAATTCTTAAAATTTCTAGAGCATATATGTTTGAAGAAACACTATTATATGGTTCATAAATCTGATGTTAGTACTCAAAATTCAACTGAATAAGGTTTCAGAAAAATTAGGACCAGTTATGGAGTATATATTTTTACCCAGTTTGCAAAAATGGGCATATCCAAGTTTAAAAAAATATAAATACTTAAATTCAATAAAAATAAACTATTGAAAATTGTTTTTATGCAAAACTAGAAAAATGGTATTTAAAAATTAAACTAGAAATATTATGTAGAGCACATTGAGAAATAACATGTATTAGGACCACATATATTATGCATATACCTTCTCCAACTTCTCAAAAGAGTCGGCTTTAAGGGGCACCCAACCGTGAATGGCTTCGCCGGCGACGGCACTGAGCCAAGCGGGCCAACCGGCGGCCACCTGCTCTCCTTCCACGTACTTCTGCAGATTCCCCAACCGAAAGCTCAAAGACTCACCACCACCACCACAACCGTGAGAACTCGCCCTCCCTGACTCACTCAACTCGCTCCCACTCAACCCCGACTCAGTCCTCTTCTTCATCTTCTTCTTCTTCTTCTTCTCCAATTCCACCACCAACCCACCTCTGCTCCGACCCGAACAAACGCTACCATTGTCACGAAACGCCCCGGAGTGATCGATAGCAGGGGTCACAGACACTGACTGCTTCGAGGCCACACAACCCATGAAGAAAAACACTCACCGACCCGCCAACATAGATTGATCTTCAACACTATCAGAGATCGACCCAGATCAAGAAATGGGTCAATTGAGCGGATTTTGACCTCTGTCAAGTCTCAAATGGGGTTTTTCAGTAATGAGTCACAGCACAAACTGTGAAGAAGGAAGAAAATGGTATATATACCCAAAACCCTCAAACATTCCATCCAGCTTCTCTCTCTACTTTCTCTCTCTAGTCGCCCCTTCTATTCAGTTCTGCGAAAATTGCGGAAGGCGGAGATTGTATAGGATTTTAATGGGCTCGCAACAGAATGAAGCGAAATCAACGGAAAGGTAGACTATATGTGCTCTCTGTCTTTGTTTTGTAAAAATAATAAAAAATTAGACTTTTTTCTGACTTAAATTTATTTTTAATTTTTCCCCCAATTTTTTTTTGATTTCTTGTTGTCTGTGAGATTTTAATTCTTTGGTTTTGTTTCTATTTGTTGATTTGAAAATATATATGTATAGATATATTGCTTTCAAATCCATTGTGGCTAGCAAGCTTAAATAGGTGGGACCCACATACTTCATAGACCTAAGAAATAATGTTGCGGTGTGTGAGGACACACTAGAAGATTTGCTGAACTTTGTTAGTTGGGTTGTTGTTGACTAATGGGTTTGTGTTTGGATTTTTCTTGAACTTAACTTCTTGTTTACACTTTGTTTTGTAGTGGGGAATTACTATAAATTATGGACAGAAAAATAGAAGCCAGAAAGAGAAAGTGTAAAAAAAAACAAAAAATTAATGGGAGTAATGGGATTGTGTTTGGATTTTTCTTGAATTTACCTTTTTTTAGTTTCGACTTGCGTTAAATATTCAGTTTTTTATTTTTGGTTGTTCTAAAAAAAATGTCTTATTTAAAAAGTCAAAGTATTAGTTTTTTGTAATATTACTAATTTAAACTTCTTATATTACACGTATCAAAAAGAAATCATCACATTCATGTCCTCCACTATAAATATTTTGGTAATTTAGTATAATAAAAAAATACTAAATCTCGTCATCTTAAAAATTAAAATTCTTGAAAATTGGTATTTAATTTGGGATAGAGTGAATATTAATTTTTTAAGGGTTTTAATTGGAGGACCCCCACTGGTATCACCTCTTTAAGTAGTAGGCTTGTGTAATGAAGGGAATTCGAACCCACACTCGGTACAGTAGATACTGTTCATCCAAGTACTAAATTTCTGTCCTATTATCCAACTGCGAAGATCGCAAGGACAAAAAATGATGCGTGGGTCTTTTCTCTCTTTCTCCCTCTTTTATTTTTTTGTCCTGAACTCCCACACAATTCAAGAGAGGAGCTTTACTGAATTATAAATTGTGTGGGAGCTCGGATGAGACAGGAGAATTGCATGTATTTGGTTATGGATTATAACGTGTTTTAAAAGGTCCGACGCTATTATAGTTGAAAAAAAAGATAAAAAATAAAAAGATTAATTGATTAAATAATGTTAATTGATTAAAAATGGAAAGGCAAAAGTTAAAAGGAAGTGAAACCTATAGAGGGTAAATAATGTAGATGACTTTTTTTTGTTTTTTCCTTTCTTCTTTTATCACCCCTCTTCCGACCTTTTTCAGTTTCCCACTTCTCATCTATGGGCCCACAAGTTGAGCTGGGTGGGGCCCACTGATTGTCTAAACCAAGAGCTGTATGGCACAAAAGGGGGTGGAGTATTTGTGGGTTTGGAAGACTGTCACTATATTGCAAATGTCTTTTTTTTTGTTTTTTTTCTTTTCTTTTCTGGTATTGATGGTGCCATAACCGTCCAGTCTGTATTTCCTTGTGGATGGGACGTCTCTATGAAAGATTTCAAAAGAATTGCGACACCACAAGCTGTTGTTATCTTGTGTCCTGCACTTGGTGTGCACGGTATTGTTGTTCTCACGCCTGTCAATTAAGTGGCCGATTATTGCATTTTGTACGAGGCTGCGACATTCTCGCTCCACAAATGTCCTAAAGATTTACACTTTTATTAAAAAATAATAAAAATAAGTAGCTCGTGTGAATGACACTCGTTTGACATGTAATGGGCTTTAAACGTTATGGTTTTAGTTAAAGTAGTAAAAATTTTTTTAGTATTATTATTTTAGCAAAGTATTCATAAACAATCTCAATTTGTAATCCTTTAAGCTTTACATTTTGAAATTCGCATTTATCTATATATATATATATATAAGACTTCTATGTCAAAAAAAAAAAAAAAAAACATTATACTTCATTTATGTTTTTTTTTAACTTTATTTTCATAAAATAAAGTTTATGAAAATATAAATGAAGTATAACGTATTTTATTCTTCTTATTATTATTATTATTATTTTTTGGCATAGAAATCTTTTATATATTTTTAATATGAAAAAGAACTAATAAGAGATCATTTATAAACAAAAGGTATTTAATACCTCGTGCATAAAAAATCTATATATATATATAAATGTGAATTTCAAAAAGTAAAGCTTAATGGATTACAAATTGAGATTGTTGATGAGCACTGTGCTAAAATAATAATAGTAAAATCTTTTTAGTATTATTATGTTTTTGGTATTAAATACCTTTTGTTTATAAATGATCTCTTATTAGTTTTTTTTATATATAAATTAAATATATATAAAAAAAACCTTTATGTCAAAAAAAAAAAAAAATTATACTTCATTTATATTTTTTTAAACTTTATTTTCATAAAATAAAGTTTATGAAAATATAAATGAAGTATAACGTATTTTATTATTATTATTATTATTATTTTTATTTTTTTGACATAGAAATCTTTTATATATTTTTAATATAAAAAAGAACTAATAAGAGATCATTTATAAACAAAAGGTATTTAATACCTCGTGCATAAAAATATATATATATATATATATGGATAAATTACTGTGAAATCACATGCTAAAATATTTTTAGTATTATTATGGTAAGTAATAAATCTTCTTAATATTTTTATTTCAACTATGCTAGGTTTCATTAAATAACATTTTCAAACTTTTGGGGGACCTAATTTAATTTTGGGAAGTGAATCTTTTCAGTTGTTTAAATTTCAACTATGGTAAAGTGAGAAAAAACATCCTTAATATTTTAATTTTTGGTAAATAATATCTGTATTCTTTATTTTGGGTATATAATTCCATTAACTTTGAAAAAAATGAGCAAAGAATGGTTTATGTTGTGTATATAAGTCCATTAAGTTTGAAAAATAAGCAAAAAAAGGCTTGAAATCACTATTAGGATATAAAATTCTAAAAACACCTTTATTTCTTCCAATAATGCTCTTATAAAGGTAAAGTGAGAAAAACACCCCTAATGTTTATATTTTGGGCAAATAACACCCATATCCTTTATTTTGAGTATATAAGTCTGTTAAATTTGAAAAATTGTGGCAAGGAAGGGGTTGAGATCATTGTTTCAAAAAAATTTAAGATATGAATTTTCAAAAATACCTTTGTCTCTTCCAATGATGCTCTTATATATATTATATATACTTGTCACATTTAATTAGTTTTTTACCTATTTTTTTACTAAGTTATGGAGGGATATTTTAGTCTTTGCAGCATTCAGATCCTTCTTTACACTAAAATTGAATGTTAATTAAGGACATTTTAGAATGCATAGGGGTTATATACTCTATATGCATACATAAGGATATTTTTGGTTCGCAACCCTATCTATATTATATATATAAAAAGAGGGACAATTTAGTTATTTCACATTTAATTAGTTTTTTTACTTATTTTTTTATTCAGTTATAGAAGGGCACTTTAATCTTTTCGGCATTCAAGTAATTGCTTACTTCAAAATTAAATGTTAGGAACTTTTTAGAACGTATAGGGGATTATGCACTCTACATGCCTACTATAAGGGTATTTTTTGCTCACGATCCTTTCAACTATTTAAGTCCTATTAAATAAAGTTTCCAAAAACAAATTGAAGACTTTTAGTATCGTAGAATAATTGTCAAATTAACATAACATATTTTGTCAAGTCAATAATAAATGGACACATTCTATTTTAATTATAAAATCTAAGATGGTAATTAAATTATGATCCCTGATTTGATAAGTGAGAATATACCTACCATATTGATTTAGTAATTAAAGATGTCATGTCCATTTATTATTGGTTCACATCAACAGGGGAGGATGGTGTAAGAATCCAAGTATTGTTCTTTTATCAATAGTTAGAATAATGTACATCCTCACCGGTGAGGACTTAAGTATTGTTCATTTTAAAAATGAGGACCTCACTAAAAATATATTCTCCAATTTTGTTGAGATGAATGTACAACTTCATTTTAAGTGAGAAGGACTAATAACACATGAACACGTCCTCTTTAATTACTAAATTAGAGATAGTGGGGGTATATACTCACTAATCAAATTAAAGATGTGAATTAATTATCATATCTGATTTGGTAATTAAAAGAGAAAGTGTCCATTTATTATTTGTCCACATCACCAGCCAGGGTGGTACACCTGGTAAAGACCTAAGTATTGTCCTTCTAAAACCAATCATTTCAATTAAAATATATATATAAAGTAGCTAGATTTGAGAAATCTATATCTGTATGGAAATCTATCTATCTATACTATGTGTATAAATATTTAACTTTATATAAATATTTTATATACATTTTTTAATCAATAACTTAATTGATTTGATTTGATTTGATTTTTAATTAAAGAAGTTGGATAGTAATTGAGCATACCACCACTCTTTAAAACTAAATGTTATATTGAAAAAGTTAGATTATAATATTGAATTTGAAAAAGTTGGATTGATTGAAAAAAAAAACACAACTTTGAAGCAATCTTAGAGAATTGGAGATTAGATGAAATTAAATGAATATGGAATATTTTGTATTAGCATTTAATTATATTTGACCTCCAAACCATATTTAACTTGATTAATGTTGAATTTATGGTCACTTGTTCATTACATCCAATTCTTGGTTGTGTTTGGAGTCAAACATTTCATAATTTTAGTTGTGGATCTATAATTATATGGGAAAAGCTAATCTATCCATCATTGGGAGGATAAGCTTGTCCCTTGTTATTCTATAGATATGTGTATTGTATACGCTGTTATGATGGGAGAGACTACTTTGCAATTGAGAGTTGGCCTACATTGAGAAGTTAATTCAGAGTGTACTGTGCTGGGAAAAATTGGAGGGAAAGGAATTATGTGTGGATGGATGAGACAACCTTTCTCACCAACCTTTTTTTAAAGAAAAAGTCTAAAAGTGATGGGGAACATAAGAATGGAATGATATATTGTGTAAAGTGACTTTATTGCCCCTCATCAAATTTTCAAATAATGGAACAGTGGTAAAAGAAATGGTAAAGTGTAAATATCCACTGGAGTTCAAAAAAACCCCTACATTTTTCAATTTAAGCAAATAAGGACAATTCTTTAATTTGAATATTGAAATACTTAAAATGTC